AAAAAAAAAAAAAAATCCGTGTAAAGAGCTTATGGTTAAGACCTTAAATCAGATAGCTTTAAGTTAGAGTAATATTGTGATGAAGATGACCATTATAAAATGTGGTGTAATTTTTTCTCCATAATCTTGTATGAAATGTTTCAGAGAATAACAATATAGAAACCTACTCAACAACACCAAATAGATACCGCAGTCATTTGAAAAAAATATAAAGGTACCCCCCTTTTGCAAAACCTTCTACATATCTGAGAATTTGATTTTGTCGATATTGTAGTCTGTTGACATTTGATATGTACGTTAAGCTAAGCAGCTTCAAAATTCACATCTCACAAAGACCATCTAAACTGTTGTTATCTTTGACTTGGAAGCTCTTCTATTATCAGGTGTGGTATCTGCTCAATTAACCTTTTCCAATCAATCTGAATAATGTATTTGAGAAAAACAAAATTGTTAATGTGACTACTAGGAGAAGTGGGTAATAGAGGTAGAATTTGGGAGGGGGTGGGGGCTTTTATGATGTTTCACTTGTCAGATGAAAAAGACTATCAGAGAAGTGTTAGCGGATATAAATTACCCTTTAATTATCATATCAGTACTCAAAAATGTCACAGTATTAGTTGAAGTGTTTGTTTTAAAATAACCAGATCATCAACACATTATGGCATTACGCTAAATCAGAATAACCAGATCATCAATACATTATGGCATTACGCTAAATCAAAATAACCAGATCATCAGCACATTATGGCATTACGCTAAATCAGAATAACCACATCATTAGCACATTATGGCATTACGCTAAATATAAATTGCAAAAGGCGTGTTTCTTACATTATTTACTAGTCCCCGTTTATTGACGAATGGACAGATTTATGCAATGGATTTCAAATTCTATTGACAGTACAAGAGTTAAATTATACTGTTGTTTTTGAATAGGTTTCCTTATTATTATGTGAAATATTTCATAAAATGTTATGAAGAAAAATATGTGACGCCATTTCTCAAAGGTCATCATTATCAGAATATTGCTCTGATTTAAAAATATTTTTGGTTTTAAATGTTAGCCTTAACTATATAAATATATAAAATGTTAGCCTTAACTATATAAATATATAATTAAACGTAATTTTAAAGTAAGAGAGAAACAATTAACTAGAAAGACAAAAAAAAAAAAAAAAAAATGTTGCCACAAAACAAACATCCAACACTGGGGCACGAATCATAGGGTGGGTCTAGTGTCCGGCGGAAGTAAGACCCAAATTACGTTGGGGCACACTGTCTATCCAGTTTAACCTCAACGTCACCGACCTCACATGCTCAGAAGAAAAAAGGAAAAGGAGTAAATGTGGGTGTTCTAGCCCAAAACGTCCCACATCTTTACCACATTTCCCTGTCTGCTGTCAGATGTGGGAAGGTGATTTCCCACAAAAATAATAATAATAAAAATAAGAAGAAAAATAATAATTAAAGTGCTATACATCAATAAGGTAGACAGCAAAGCTCTCCTTGAAATTAACATTCCAGCCCCCAATACGATATTTGGGCATAAATACCAAGATGTTAAGGCATTATATACTAAGCCCAACCTTAATTATTAGTTTAGCTCCCATCCTCTACCCTCCCATGCTACTATCTGGAGCTTCGATAGAATTTGAAATCCACTGGATAAAGCTGTCAGGTAAATCGTATTTCAAACATTTTTTAAGATCAATGAAAGACCCTATAGTTCATAATTTGGTATTATAGATTACCTAAGTCTAAGCTAATTTACCTTAATTAATTTTGTTTCTCTTGTAGAAACTCTCCTTCCTGTGTAAGCTTGGTGACGAGTTACTACAAAGAAAATTTCAACTGTCCTTCCTGTGTAAGCTTGGTGACGAGTTACTACAAAGAAAATGTCAACTGTCCTTCCTGTGTAAGTTTGGTGATGAGTTACTACGAAGAAGAATTCAACTGTCTTTATGTTGCATAGTGACAGTGTTGTTACCACAAAGAAGGGCTTGTTTCAAGTCTTTAGTTATTAGATAAGTGCTGGAATAATCCTTGAGTCATAATTTTGAGGAAAATCACATAGATTTTATATTATCATAGTAATTTGTTTAAAAAAAATGTCGGATCAATGTTTGTATGGAGTGATAGGTCGTAAGTAGTAGTCACGATAATCAGTAATTTTCAGAAGTTATACCAGCTGGTAAAGTAGGTTTTATAGTTTGCTGGTTTGTTCCAAAAATATTCACGATTTTGTAAAAGTTGTTGTTAATTCCCCACTTTTATACTTAATGGAACCTCGAAATCTAACCAAATCTTTAGACCTAACTCTGTTGTAGAACTGCCCAGCAAGTGACCAGGTAATACAACATTCACTAATTGTGTCACAACAAAATATTATCAGCGTGTAGGAGATTATGTAGACATAGTGAAGGATTAGTTTGCTATCCACTGGTAACGTTTTGCTGTGATACACTGCATATTGCTTGTCTACAATGTTTTATTCAGTTCATAAGGCTTAAGCATGAGTCCTATTTAGTACAAATAGTGCAATGAATCATTTCAAGAAGAGTGACGTGTTAAACTTATCAATGGTCTTACAGTGGTGTTACGATACAATCAATTATTTGGCTGTACGAATTAAAACAAATAATTATAAGCAATCTTTTGAACGGTTAACTAAAATTTAAGTCAAATGTATCGCTTTATATCAGTCTCGGTGTCTTTTTGTGTTTGAATTATGAACAACAGAGAGCTGTATTCAGATTTCTAAGAATGAGAAGAAAAAAATATCGTGAATTAATTCCGTCAAAAACTCCAGCTGTGCATTTTTTGTCAATTTTAGCAATTTTTTAGTTAAAGTCAGCTGATTGTTATTACTTCAATACATGGACTGGCTTCATTTTTGGCAGCACATTATCAGTTAAAAGTAAGCTGACTATGACTTCAATATGTGCAATGATTTCATTTTTCGGGTATATTCTTACTTGAAGCCAGTTGATTACTACTTCAATATGTGGTAAGATATCCTTTTTTGGAGTATATTCTAAATTAAAGTCAACTGACTACTACTTTAATATGTGGACTGGCTTCATTTTTTCATTCTCAATTAAAGTCAGCTGACTACGACTTTAATATGTGGACTGGCTTCATTTTTTCATTCTCAATTAAAGTCAACTGATTACTACTTTAATATGTGGACTGGCTTCATTTTTTTCATTCTCAATTAAAGTCAGCTGACTACTACTTTAATATGTGGACTGGCTTCATTTTTTCATTCCCAATTAAAGTCAACTGATTACTACTTTAATATGTGGACTGGCTTCATTTTTTCATTCTCAATTAAAGTCAGCTGACTACTACTTTAATATGTGGACTGGCTTCATTTTTTTCATTCTCAATTAAAGTCAACTGACTACTACTTTAATATGTGAACTGGCTTCATTTTGGTGGTAATGTTAACAGAAAGTAAAGTTATTACGACTTCAATATGTGGCCTGATTTCATTTTTAGAGTGCATTCTTAATTGAAGTCAGCCGATTACTACTTCAATGTGTGTAATAACTTTACTGTTCTGTCCTATTTTGAAATAGGGTGTTACGTCTAATACGCGAATACAGTTTCAATTGATAGTGTATAATCATCCTTTATACGCAAGAAAATTAAAATAAACAGAGCTTTCATGCGTGTCTTGTTCATGTTTGTTTATAGGAGCTGTCTGATCATTAAGAAGAAAACCAAAATTACTATTTCATCATCATGTTTACAAAATGCTCATTGACTAGGTCTTGCACATCGTTTACTCCAGAAGCCTTCAAAATAAGGCTTCATTTTGTGTACAGCTGTCTGATCATTAAGAAGAAAACCAAAATTACTATTTCATCATCATGTTTACAAAATGCTCATTGACTAGGTCTTGCACA